AGCGCTCGTGTATAAAAAAACAGCTACAGGGTGGGCAACAACCCCTGGTGTGAAACCGCACAAGGATCAGGCCTTGTCCTGCTCTCCCCTACTATACGCCAGCAGAAATACAAGGCAGCAGAAATACAATACTGTGAACCCTTAGCGTCAGCTCTGGCTACCAGGCTCCTCAGAGTCAACCAACTGCGGGCTCCTCTGGTTCACATCCCAGCGCAAAACCAACCTCTGCTGTTTCCATGCCTTAGGACAGATGTTTACCTACAAGTTAAAGGCTTGATTTTCATGCTGAAGGTATTAAAAAAAAAATAAATGCAAGGGTGAAGGAGAATTCAGTGTGGTTTTCTGCAGGTACAAGTCATTTTTGCACAAAAACCTGATGAGCAGTGAGATAAACGTGCCAACCGGATTCGGGCACCTCCTGAGTTTCAATCATTCCACTCGCAGCAAAGCAGGAGCATTACAGAAAGTCGGTTTCTCAGCAGGAGACTTAAGCAACCACCACAGTAGTCCTGTTTCTGTGGCTTCTGGGACCGAGCTGTTCTCTTTGCCCTACGTCCACCAATTTCATTTGCACACCAAATAAACAAGGTGTGCAAATGCAGCACAGGTTGTGTCTCTACGAGGACTGCTTTGCTGGGACAGGAGCAGCAGCGTGCCCTAACAGAAAAGCATTTCTTCTACGACGCAGCCGTGCTTGCAAACTGTTCTGTAGCCACAAAGTAAGAGCCTCTCCTTTCTCCCTCCCTCTTCCTGGGGGCAGCAAAACAAGCTGCATTGATAAACCTGCCTAATGGGACAATTCAACAGGGGAGAAATTAATTCTATTTTTCAGGGAGAGCAGCAGATTTCTCTTACCAAGTTTGTAGTGCAAGTCTGGTCGTTGGCTGTAGCCATTTTAAGGCTGCAATTCAGCAGAGCACATCAGTACATGGCAACTTTGAACACGCGGTTATACCCTATTTCAGCAAAATACCTACGCGTACACTGTACATTTAACGGCAACCCCTGCACAGAACGGGGTGCCTTGCACTACTTGCAAGCCTCTGGGCTTCACAGATCTGTGCCTCGGGAAAAGTGCATTTCTAAGAAGTTCCTTTCGGGCCTCTTGGAAGGCAGCACGAGTCATTCACTCGCTCCAACTCTTAATTGCTGCCCTGAAAAAGCCTCGGAAGGAATGTAACAACTTGTTTTTCACTGTTAAAATGGGAGGTTCTCCACTGCAAGCTGTAAGCCTTCAGCTGAAAACCTCCTGAACATCTGGCCTGGGATTTGCGTTGACGGTTGTTCATGGTACAGCGAACGGGTGGGCGCATTTCTAGGTTAATACTACCAAGAAAATCGGGCAGGACAGTCTCCCTTCCTCCCCCTACCCCCAGCGTAACCGCAGCAGCCGCAGTCCAACAGAACACACCAGACGTTCAGAAAGACTCCGATACCATGAGGAAAAGCCTCAAGCGCGGTGCAGCCCCGTAGCAAGCAGAGGAAGGCTGTTGCACGTAGCATGGGACAGCTGCCCGAGCCTGCACCACTCGTGAGCAAACACACACGGGCTTGCACATGGAGAGCATCTCTACTCATCCAAGGACTAAACCTGCCCCCCCTCCCATGGTACACGCTCTCATTTTCTTCCTAAGAAATAGCAAGTACGCGCTTTTGGCATAAAGCAGCTTTCATCACGTGAGAACCTCGGAGCATGCAAAATTAAGGTCCAGACATGCTAACTGCACCGCGGGGCAAATTTCTCTCTTCCAAAGCTCACTGAAATTCATACATTCCTTCTAAATCCAGTTGTAAACCACTGTCCTTAAGGCACTAATACTGAATGCAAGTATTGATAGTGCCAGAGAGAGTAAATCTGCATCCGTAAGGAGGATCACATGTTTAAAGAAGACCCCAGGCCACAGTGAGAAAAGAGAAGGAGGATGCACTTAAAGCAAATAATTGCAAACCTTGTAGGGAGAAACAGATTAGCAGCCTGATTACAAACATCAGATAACCATATGTAAAATACTTTTTAGTACAATTTCAAAGCATTGCGACCAGAAGATACACATCAAAAATATTAAACTCGGCTAAAAGGATAAATTCTGCTCTAGGTACTCCAGTGTTAATGTAGAGCAACTCCAGTGACTTCAAAGGAATTGCTCCAGATACAAAGCAGTGTAGCCAGAAGCAGACTGGCTGGTAGCCTGCACAAACAAGCAAAAAAGATTTTCATTTTTTAAGAAACCATATCAACTAGTTCTAGCTAATTACGTGACAGGGGCCTTGGGTGTGAAACAGCAACTGCAAAGCCTCAGGGACCAAGCCAAGAACCTTTGATTTGCTCTCTACAGCTTATAAAACCTTCTGAAAACTTTTGCTCTAACAGCTTTTCCACTTTCCTTTGCAAACTGCAGACACTGCTCCAGTGCTGCCCTCCTGCAGGGCCCCCACCATCGCTCTCTACTAAGCCTTTACCCTTTGTCTTACAATCTGAGGCTAATTTCAGGTTGCACAGCTAAACCAGCAGCTGTTTCCAAGCAGAAAACACATTTTGTGTTCGTTTTATGGAACATTCAATGTTGGAGCAGTTGAAATCGTACCCACCCCACAAATAAATTTTAAAACTTCTCTGTGAAACTCCCTGAAGTTAAAATATTAAAACTGGAAAGTGCCAAACTTGTGTTAGTGAAACTCGGGTTATTAGTTTGGAAAGAGAAACAAAAGTTCTGGAGTCTGTGGGATGATACTGTGCCTACTCGCTATTAAAATGCAGAGTAGAAGCTAAGCCGTCTCTCTAAAAAATAACTTGAAGGGAGAGATGTCTGTATGATGTATATATATGCTCCCAGGTGAAATGCAGGATAGCCGAGCCCGCTTAGGAAGGCAACGCTAGCCGGCTCTGCTTCCTCACTCGCCTGACATGCCAACACACCCAGGCTAGACTCTAAATTTGTTCAGCCACATTAACTTTTCCTGGTCCTTAAGTCACAAGCGATGAAATCTCATTCATTTATGCAAGCAACTGGAAGATTTATTGTAAATAAAGTGCTGCACATTACACAACTGGCTAAAAATCATAATTAGAGTTGCACTGGGAAACATGTTTTATTTATTCTGACAGTAGTCTGGCTTCAATAATCCTAGCATGATAAATGTCCCTAAAGTTTGCAGAGTTTCAGCAACTAAAGACCTTATCACAGACATGGAAGTGGAAACGTCTGACGAGGTTTGACGTGGCTTACAAGAGGTCCCAAGCCGTTCTGTTGCATAGCATCATTTTAAATCAGCACCAGGGTACTAAGAACTGCTGGGAGTGCCTTCATCCATTGTAAATCAAAGAAATGAAAATTTCCGCTGCTGTTAAACTTCCAAGGCCTCGGTAGGAAAGCTAGGACACGTCTGCGTGAATTAGCAAGGTTCTAGGATAGGGAGAAATGACAGTCGGAGCGCCGAGCCGACAGACCCTCTGGAAAAGGGTCAATGACACCATTAATAGGATGCAGACATTCCCCATCTCTAGCTGTTCCACACCCTGCCAAGAGTTCTAGTGCTTTCTTTCTTTATAGTTTTAAGTACAATTTCAGGCCCATAAAACATCAGAGAAGACAGAAGCTATTATCCTGGCCATGACAGGAGTCCCTAATGGGACATGCATACTCTGCAAATACCTAGAACTAACGATGCTGTGCTTTTACTGTTCCCCATCTGTTCAAGGGTATTTTAAAATGTACCAAATCAGGTTTACCCCCATAATGTTTATTGCTGCTCTGAGACTAATAAATGACTCCGAGTGCAATCAAACATTTATCTGGCTTTGCTCATTCTTGAAGAAGACGAGGAGCCCAGTCCACTTGCTTTTCACACGGGGCATCCTGTAAAGCGTTTTCTCCAGCCCAGCCACGGAGCAGGCTCGCTTGGATATTTATGGGAAGACCCTCATCTGGCTGTCAACGTGCTGCAATGCAGCAAAAGAACCCAACCCGTTTATTTTCAGAAGAACGCACAGGTTATGCACAGACCAGCCCAGAGCCACAACTGTATACTGCACAGGGGTAAAACAAACTTTATTATCAATATGGATGATACGCGCTTCCACAAATATTTTAGCCGGTCTCTGCTAAATTTAGAACAGCTAGAGTATTTCTAGCTAATGTTATGAAAAATAATTATTTATATTGCTATAAAAAGAACATTCCAGTAACAGAGAGAGGTGGTGCATGGCAGAGCTCTATCGCAAGTCTCGGTGAAAGAATCTGGAAACCTTTCCCAGCACCCAAGGAACGGGACCGCGGGTACCAGGCTTGTTTGCTGCATGGCAGGCAACAGTTGGTCTGTTTATTAAATACAGTCACAGAATGGCTTTGTGCGTCCTCCGATCTGCAAAACCGCCATTCGGTATGAACGAATACAAAGATTAAGTTTAGGTTCAACCTTGCAAAAATAAAAGTGAGACCAAAAATGCTTCACACACCCCCGAGACACACACACACACACGTACCTTAGAAGCTCGACGTGAAAAGTAAAGCATGGTTGCATGGTTTCCTTACGAAGAGATGCCAGCTACGGTCATCGCCTGGGCTCTCCAGTCAGCTGATGTGGTGTGGCTTATGAGCACTAAGGCTGCACGTTCAGAAAAACTCAGTTATTAGAGAACACCCAAACCGTCAACCGCTGCCATAGAAATGCTTTTGGTAGGAAAATTTAAATGTAAATAGGGGGAAGCATACTTAAGTATTTTAGGAAGGCAACGATGAAGGAATGACACACTCAGAAGAGGATTAATCGTATTCCGCAAATAGGAAAGCAAGTAACCTTCCATTTGTTACTAACCTAAGAAAGTACCCTTTTCATAAGCATATGGAAGCATTAAAAAAAAGAAAATCCATTCTTTTGTAACTTTGAAGCTTGTATCGAGTTACATTTCATCCTTTCAACATTCGCTTGTTATCTGCCAACTGTTCTGCAGTGTTTCTGGCTTCTATGCCAGACCAAATGAACAGAGAATGGAGTAAATTAACTGCCTAAGAGCTAGAAAGCGGAGCTTGCCCACTGACTTCAGCATACTATACAACAACAAGTACTTTTCATTAATTTATTAATGGCAAACAGCAAATAGATAGGAACAGATGAAACTACGCATCATTTTATCTAAAATGTAGAATGCAGAGCTTAACTGAGGAGCGTGTGCCCTCACCGTATCATATCCAAAGGTGCTTTGATCTCATTATTAGAGAAAAATATCGTTGAGTGCATCTGAGGTATGGAGTTCATGCTTTACACAGACCTGATCAATGATTCATTACCAAAACAGACGTTATATATTGTCTCTAAAGGTTACAGCACAGTATTTATTTAACAGCAGAATGCAACAGTTTCTCTAAAAAGAGGACTGCATACGTCAAAATCAAACTTCTACAGATACAAAACAAAGCCCTTGAAACAGAATACCTGATAAAAGGAGAAACTTTCAATTCATTATCAGTCAAATTAATTAGAAAAAACGGCTTGGAGGAAAGGAAAGTTCAGGAAGTGACAGTATTCTGTGCAAGTAAACACAGATTTTACAAAAATGACGGAGTCATCTCAAAATGAATCACTTAATTTAAAATACCCACTGGCAACAACAACAAAAAAAACCCATTCCACTTAAGACTTCCATCATATTACGACGCCAAGCATCTTATTTACAAGTCAAGGGAGAAAAACCTTCAAGCTTATGGACAAGTAGCACCCACCTTCTTTCCTGTACGAAAAGAGTTTGGATGAACACGTATTGGTGGAGCGATCGAACGGCAAAGGCAGCAGAGTCCTAAAGCAGAAACTCGGGGTGCTCTCTGCTTCAGTGGGTCAGCCCAGACAAGGAGCTGCGGGGCTCTTATTGCCAGGAAAGCCAAACCAATTTTTGGCAGTTATTGAGGGGAAAAAAAAAAAAAAAAAAAATCATGCCCGTTTATATGTCATCAAGCTATCAACATGGCTTTAGTGTTGCAAACTCTGGATGCCCCAATTAAGGGAGGATTTCTGGACTAGAGTATCATGATGCTATCTGGAGGGGGCGAGGAAGGGATCTGGAATTGCGGTGTAATCCAAGGAATGAAGAACCAACGGGGACCAGAGGTGTGCAGGGATAAGTATTCCCCTTTTAGGAGGGGAAAAAAAAACAGTCACCTTTGAAAAGCAAGAATATGCTTTCATAATCCAAGCACCTGAGCTCTTCTAGCTCCCACTGTCCCTTTATTGCTTCTGGAGGTCAGTATGTTATGCAGGTTTTGGTTTGGTTTGTTTGCTAAAAAACAACAAAGTGACGTACAATGATTTTTGGAACTATTGATAAAAATCACACCTGAACTCTTTTAAACATACCACAGTACTTCGTTACTCCTGAGCTGTTGATGTTTGCGATGTGTAACATTGTTAAAAATATGAAAAGTTGGCAAAATGCGCTCCCCCCATCAGAAAAAAAAATGAAAAAAAAGAGAAAAGCTTTTTCCAGCTGTAACATCTGTTAAGTCTAACTGGCTGACAAGTGCTTCTGATGAAACAGGCTTGCCAGAGCACTAAGAGGAGGAGGGACTTCATGGAGGAGGGAACGCAAGCTATTTTTCTGCTTCCCTCACCCACAAAATGCACAATACCATTTGCAAACAACAAAGAAACAACACGGCATCCTGATAACATGCAACACGAGGTGATTTCACGGGCCGACGCAGTGGCGCGTAGTTATCTCTGGGTCGTTACCTGCGGCAGTATAACTGGAGCACATGCTATCCCAGCAAAAGACTCTGGAAAATGTAGGTCCCTTTCCCATTCATCGGTCTCTGTGTTATACACCTGCACAATGCTTGTAACATTGTTCAGATGCCAATTGTACCCTCCTACGATATAAATCTTTTTTTCTAGTAAACAACAGCCAGCTTCCGACTGACCTGCACGCATAGGGCTCACCGTTGTCCATTGATCTGTTTCAGGCACATAATATTCCACAGCCAAAACGTCAAAACAACGGTCAACATGGTCCATGCGGCCTCCCAGCGCGTAAATCCTATTATTTGCACTGACCATGGCATGCAGAACTCTGGGTTCGTTCATTGGGGTTTTAAACTCCCATTGATCCACGGCGGGGTCGTAACAGTGCAGGGCTTTTTTGTCTTCCACTGAAATGCCATACCCACCTGATATGTACAATTTGTCTCCTACCGTGGCTCCAGCGTGCCCCCACGTCCTGCGTTTCAGGGAGCACACGTAAGTCCACTCGTTATTTTTGGGGCAATACTTCTCTACAGAGGCCAAGCTCCCCGACCGGTTTCTCCCACCGGTGGCATACACCATACCATGGAGGACGTTGAGCTGGAACTGGATCCTGCTCTCCTGCATGGCCTGGATGCGCAGCCACTGGTTCAGGTGCGGATCGTAACGGTAGCAGATATCCACAGCTCCCTCGCCGCTCCGGTATTGCAGGTGCTGCCCTCCTACGATGTAGACAAAGTTGTCGAGGACGGCCACGCAAGAGTGGCTGCTGCCCACCTCCATTTCCGTCAGCTCCTTAAACTGGCGCACGCTGGCATCCGGCAGGTAATAGACTTTGCAGCTCACAGTGCGGTCGTTATCGGTGTAGGGAGTGCCGCCGAAGGTGATGAGGGACAGGACATCCGAGCGGATGGTGGTCCGAGGGGACTGCATCTCGTGCTGGCGGAAGGGCAGGATCTGGTAATTGAACGCCTCCAGCAAGTACTGCCGGCACAAGACATCTTCCACCATGATGTCCAAGGTCTGGACGCTGTCCACCAGCTCCGAGGACTTCATCAGTGGGAAGCGGATGTGGCAGAGGACCTGGCTGGTATTTGCACGGCGGGTTGGGTCGTATTGCAGCCAGCGGACGGCAGCACGGAAGAGGTCTATTTCACTGCAGCTTTTCAGCTTATTGCTCTGCAAGAAGAAAACAAGGCGCTCCAGCGGCAGGTGGAGGAAATCCTCTTCCTCAGAGATCTGGAGGAAATGCCTAAAAGTGAATGCATCTACTGACTCCTTCAAGGATGCGAGGCTAAAGGTGGTGGCCATCTGCCCGATATTGAGACACGTTTCTACGCTCATGGCAGACTTCAGAAATTCTTCGCAGAGCTCCACGACAGGCACCATCTGGAGGAAGACAGCAGCTCCCAGCACATCCTGAATACAGTCAAGATCAAGAGTCACTTCAGCACTGTACGCAAAGTCTATTATGTGTTTCAGTCCTTTTGCAGATACACCTTTCAGTTCGATCACATCTTGGCTGGCTTCTCTCATCCCGCCTGTGAACATCGCCCTGGAGGTCAAGAACACAAACAAACATTTTCCCCCCTTTAAATACATGTAAAATGATGATTCGCTTCAGAATTTTATTTTTACTTATTTTCATTTACTGATTCTCTTAGGGAGGATGGGGAAGGGGGAGAATAAATCAAGGCTAAATCTCTAAAAGCCAGGAGAAATCAGAGTACGCAATTACTTACATAAAGCTTGCATAAACAGTGCGCTAAGGAGTAGTATTCAGCTATCGGAAAGTTACTTTTTTCAATCCTACTGGCTGCGTAAGTAAGAGTGGGACACAGGACAAAGCTTCAAGAAGTAGGCAGAGCTACCAGAGCAGGGAACATAGTACGCTGGACGCCAATGACTCTGTGATAGCAACCAAAGGATACAACGGGCTCTGTACCGGCAGAGATTGGTAGCCATACCCTGAAGAGTTCACACGTGCAGGATTTGTGAGCATAAAGAGAGAACACACTTCAGAAGACACCTGTGTTTAGGAGGCCAGCGATCCTCTGGGCTTGCCTGCAGCGCTGCCTTTAGGCAAAGATTTCGGTTAGCCCATTATATCGTAGGCTAGCTACGAAATGGCTTAAATACTGCAGATGCAACTCATCTTATGAACAGCTTTGGTAATCACAACAGAACCTCCCCTCCAAGGTTCACTCCCAACGCCTTAAGAAGACAGGAGTTGCAGCCGCTTCAGAAAACGTCTGTCATGTTGCAGTACGACGGCAGGGGGCTAACAGGCAATTAAAAACAAAAAAAAAAAAAAAGAAAAGAAAAAAAAAAGATTTTGTTACAGCACAGCTGCAAGCACATCAGTTGACCAGGCCACGCAGAGATTAGGCCCTCGATCACCTCCTTGGGAGGCTTCTAAATTCCACAGGAAGCACATACCACGCCAAGGACTGCGCGCAGACATCTCGTAAACCGCTCCTCTA